AAAAATCGCGCGATTTTTTATTAAAAATTTTCATTATTTATCGAAGTATTTATTTTTATGGAAAAAGCGCCGCAGGCGAAAATTTTTAATAAAAAATCGCGCGATTAACATCCTGACCAAGTTTCATTTGTTAATTCCACCTGGTTTTCTTAAAACACAAGGTGCGGCTGACTACTAAAGCCCACCCCGGATTGTTATTAGGGGGGCCGAAACGCGTCGTTTGGTACCCCTCCCGACTTTTCCGCACCTTTTTTAGGGGTTGTTACCCCACCCTAGAGAATTACCAAAGCTTTTCCGTAATTAAGTAAAATAGAATGGATTCAGTGGCCGGTGCACTTTTGTCTCAGGAGGAAGAACATGCTGCAGTCAACTGTTGCATTAATATACAAAGGAGATTGCTACAAGACAGTTCTGATCCATTTAGCTTAAATGATAAATATATGCTCCCTCTTTTTAAGGGCGTCCATTCAACTAAATATTGTGTTGCTTTAAATCTTGCAACGCTTTCCCAAAATTCCACCACATCCTCTTTAACTATTACAAAGCCTCGGGCAATGTCCGGTCTTTCGCTCATGCATTCCACCAGTTTTTCGTATTGCGAGCGATTTGTTCTGATTGTCGACTTGATAATTTTGTAAACATTTAATAATACATTGTTTTTTATTCACACTTCAACTTACATACATATTTTTGCGTTTCCACACTTTATTTTATTGATATTTTAAAAGAATTCGCTTCGCTCCGACACCAGTTGCTCTTCGTAGAAAATTTCCGACAAATACATACAAACTACAGCTACGTCGGATTCAGGCATACCAACATTACGAATTTCGAAGATGGTCTCCGAATTTCGAAATTACGATACGGCAACGCGGATTACAGCATACCAATTTTAAGATTCGTAGCAAAATCGAATCTACGACGGATTACAGCATAGGGGTGCATTAGTTATCGAAGTATTGATTTTTATGGAAAAAGCGCCGCAGGCGAAAATTTTTAATAAAAAATCGCGCGATTTTTTATTAAAAATTTTCATTATTTATCGAAGTATTGATTTTTATGGGAAAAGCGCCGCAGGCGAAATGTTTTAATAAAAAANGGCTGCTATTTGACTATTGTAGAACGCAGCCTACAAGATAGTGATGTATCAACAATAGCGTGGATTGGAAACTAGGCCTTTCCAACCACCAAGATATCGAGACTAGGCGGATCGGAAACTCGGCCTTTCCGACTACCTAGACCCTTAGATAATAAACAATAAACGAGCGGATTGGAAACTAGGCCTTTCCAACCGTTAACCGTCACGAAAGCGCGACTGGGTGGATCGGAAACTCGGCCTTTCTGACCACCCAGGAGATATCAATAAATGGAGTAACCCAAAAAGAATAGCGCGGATTGGAAACTCGACCTTTCCAACCGTCTACATAACTTCCAGGAAATTGCATGAGTGTATAATGACATAAAATAATTGCAGTGATAAAGAAATAATGTTATTTAAAAATTTCTGTAGAGCATTTTGTATTTTGTATTTAATATTTAATATTTATATTATATTTTAAATCTAAAATCTAATTATAAGAATGTTAAATCTTTGTTGCAATATAAGTCTAACAGACTGTAAAAAATAAATAAATAAAAATAAAATAAATAAAATTATTTATTCATATATTAAACGAAAGAAGATACCGAAAAGCATTGAACAGTGCACACATCTCATAAGGAAAAGTGAATTATTACGATATACTAATACAGTAGTGTTTAAAAAGTGAGAACAGGTGATTTAGTGAATCTTTATCGGTGTAATTGCCCATAGAAAACAACGAAATTTAACAAAAGTTTTTTGTTCATAACTTTTAAATGGTTAAAAATATTAGTTCGCCCCCTCCGGATTGTTATTAGGGGGGCCGAAACGCGTCGTTTGGTACCCCTCCCGACTTTTCCACACCTTTTTTAGGGGTTGTTACCCCACCCTTGAGAATTACCATTTTCATTATTTATCGAAGTATTGATTTTGTTAAGAAAAGCGCCGCAGGCGAAAATTTTTAATCACCCCTATGCTGTAATCCGAAAGTTCGTAGTTACGAATTCGTAGCTCCGTTCCGAAAATTCGAAAATTGGTTTGCTGTAATCCGATCGTAACTATCNAGTGAGAACAGGTGATTTAGTGAATCTTTGTCGGTGTAATTGCCCATAGAAAACAACGAAATTTAACAAAAGTTTTTTGTTCATAACTTTTAAATGGTTAAAAATATTAGTTCCCCCCCTCCGGATTGTTATTAGGGGGGCCGAAACGCGTCGTTTGGTACCCCTCCCGACTTTTCCACACCTTTTTTAGGGGTTGTTACCCCACCCTTGAGAATTACCATTTTCATTATTTATCGAAGTATTGATTTTGTTAAGAAAAGCGCCGCAGGCGAAAATTTTTAATCACCCCTATGCTGTAATCCGAAAGTTCGTAGTTACGAATTCGTAGCTCCGTTCCGAAAATTCGAAAATTGGTTTGCTGTAATCCGATCGTAACTATCAACGGCGTTGCCAACTAAAATAGTGAAATTCGAAGTTCTTAATCAGCTGCTTTGACAGAAACAAA